GGAGAGAGAGAGAGAGAGAGAGAGAGTACAATCGAATAGAGCAAATAGCCCCATGATATTTCATTGAGCGCAGATATAGTTACCATGGTAACAAACTCCGGTGGTATCAAAATCGTCCTACGTTTCAACATTCCCCTTTATCCGTCCGTATAAACGATATCGATATTCGTCGGTATGAACAGTTTCCTATCGATTTCAAATATTTTTCTGCTTTCCAAGGTTTTCGCGTGTACTTGCAAAATGTTTACTTTCGAGTGTGATGGATAGAAAAAAAATATATTTATCCATCATCGATAATAATTTATTATTATTCTATCTAATATCGTTCATATTAGATTCACGAATCGTATATATATATTTTCGCCGCCACATTTCAGATACGTGTTTCAACGAACGAAACACGTGTGCTGCGCCCTGAAAATGTCACTCCGATTTCTGATCGACAGGTCAATTATCTTCGATTTAATTAACACGCGCTAGTCGTTGCAGAAAAAAAAAATGATAACTAATCTGTATTTTTTTGACGAATTTTATCGCTTCGTATTTTCACTTATGAAAAACAATGAGATATTTCGACTTAACTCGTATAAGATAACAAATTCGAATCTAAACTCTCGATCAACTTCGTAGAATAATTTTTTTGAAAATAAAATTTTTGCAATGCGTATTTGTATCGAATCTTGATGGCGTTATCGATTGAAATAATTTTTATTGGCAATGTAGATCGTTGCCATTTTACACACAGTCGCGAAAAGCGACCTTCGGTTTCGCGTGGCAGTGACAATTTTTCTTGGTGAACGATTTCACGGCTGAGAGCTGAATGCGCGTCGACCATCGATACCATCGCTTGTTTGTCGTTCGATGTAAGAGGAAGAACGGAGAAGAATTTACGAGCCTCAAAATCGGGAAGGAAAAAAATCGTAGTGAGCGCTAAATCCTATTTGTTCGAGGTAATCCAATATCACGATGCGCAATAATTTATGTAAGCTTTAGACCTTCAGTTTTATTATAAGAAAAAAAAACTTTACTTTACTAGAAGAGAAAATAACTTTCTTAATTAAAAATTTAAAAGTATTTGAGTGCATTTGGGAACTTTAGCTTGGGAACGGTGTAGATAAATTTGCGAGAACAAAAATTTTTTATTCTCCTTTTAGTGAGAATGAAAGAAGAATGAAATAAATTGTATATGCAAGTTTTAAAAATGTATCTTTTGTTTATTTGAGCCGAATTAAATTTCAATGAAGGGATTATCATTCGCGTACGTAGCCCATAATTTTCGGTTAATTTTACTATTCAACATTCAATCAAGAAAATTTACCGTTCCATTCGTGGTCGTGTCGTACAATCGAGTTGCGTGTTGAATAGCTGTACCGTTTCACCTGTAACAGGTCAACCCCTAACATTTTCTAACAATTTATTGCTCGTAAACGATTAGTTTCGTTTGTAGTTTCGTAGTAGCATTGAAAGTGTAACAAAAATAATTTTATTCCAAATTACGACAACAAAGTATATAAAAGTTTATACGCATGAATAAGTCACCGATATTTGTAATATTATTTTTTCATATAGGCACAAGCATGTTATTACAGGCAAAAAGCCGTAAGATTTTGACGAAATATGCAAACGTGCAAAGGTCAAAAGGACGGGCGTCTGTCTACCTTTACTTACTCTTATCAAAGAGAAACATGTTTGTACTTATCTAAAACCCCTCAAGCATTTCGAGAAGGTAACGAAACTGTTACTGTTGAATTCGTGGCACAACGGAATGAAATTTATACCTTTGAAACTGTCCACTGTATTATTCAACGACAAGAGATTGCTTTAAAATTTTGGATCGATAGTCAAAAGTCGAACAGGTGAATTATATAGCAATACGCGATATCGTCCATTTTGTTGAATAATGACATCGTATATAGTGTAATTTATTTGTTTTTACTGAAATCTATCGTCTATCGAACAATAAATATTCGATTAAAATATATATTTTTATATTTATAATTTTAATACAAAAGTTAATTCTCTAAAAATTAATTCATATCTTTTCTAGTTTTTAAATAACAAATAACACTTTCGAAAAGAAATTGAAATATACATTATCGCATCAATATATACCGCTACTTTGCCTTGGAAAAATTCAGTTCCCTAGTAGAGTCTTTCGCCATAAAAATATCACCATTTCACCTCGCAAACGTTCTCTCTTTGCAATCGAATTCCTTTTCCGGTGAAAAATGTCCTAAGAATTTTCACACAAAGTGAAACTTATCTCAAAAATATAAATATTGATTGAAAATAAAGTAAAAAAAAAAAAAAAATCATTTCTCTTATCGCGAATATTTATTTTTCGATAATAACGGATGTAGAAATGAATCTTATCGATTATTTAAATTCAATCGTTCTAATTGAAGAATGAAAGAGGAACGATATTATAGCTTACGAATCTATGCAACAATAATAGAATTCGACATGGGACACAAAGAAATTGCAAATATTTACAGAAAATTTACTTATGAATTTATATTTGCCGTTGTGCATAATTGCATCAAAATGCAAATACAAAAAGCAAATAAAAAATGTTTTCCACGGTGTAAATAAATTCTCTTTTGCAAATTTCGCGCGTCCGATTTTCAAATTAGAAGCGATGAAAATTATATCAAATATTACGTTCGTGTTGTTTATCTTCGGTTTGATATTGGAAATTCATAATGTATAATTTTCAAATTTCTGTATAAAAAATTGAAAAACTCTAAAAGTAGAATCTTTTGCTATAAGTCATAAATATCGTAAAAAAAGAAAAAATGCGTATGAACGTTAATATGTAATAAATTTGCAAAAAAAACTTGAGAAATTTTCAAAGTTCGAACAAGAAAAAATACCCTGCAATTATATAATCTTGGCTAAGATATTCGGCTAAGGAAATGGCTTTATATTCGACTTTTGTCATAACATCGAATAATAGCACATCTATTTTCCTCCAAAGACCTAATTCGCATAAGCTCGACAACTTGAACGACTTAATCCACTTTGCCCACACTCCTTCCCCTCCCCCTAATAACACAAGAGCACTCCTATTGTGATAATTCGGTAGATGGAACGTGTACTAATTTCTGGATGAATCATTTCAATTGAAGAAATACCTCAGAGATTTCTATTCAAACGGAAAAGAGACAAGAGCCTGTCATTTCTTAAATTCCTTGATATCCCTCTAAGGAGAATCGTCAAGAGGTTATTTCACGAATAACGATATATAATAACTGATTTATATATCCACGTAAAATTCATTTGTTTTGCTTAGAAAAGATTCCCAATCCTCTTTTTTTTTTTCTTGTAAAATGCGAACAAAATCTCGTGTAAAAGAAATGGAATAACATTTCCATTCGAATAATTTCCACAAAGCACAAATCTCAGCTTTGTCGAACTAGTAGGAACTTATTAGAGCATACCAGTTTGAATTCACGAACGACGGTAAATCTGATGATGGTCTTGATAGGTTTCCTCGAGAAGGCCATCGAGCAGTATTCGCTATCTGAGAAATTCAAGTGCTTATTAAGACTATCCTTCTATTTTCGATAAAGTTATTATTTCGGCGAAAGCTTTTGAAAAGAAAATCCCAGAATGCAATTCTGGGCAAGGTAAAAATATCAACGAATAAGTTACTCGTGTCCCTTAATTCTATCTCGATGATTTTTATCCGTATCCGTACATTTTGCAACTATTTACGCAAATAGGATCAATAAATATCTTGCAGTTATAGAGAGTGTATTATTTTATGTCAAAATGAAATACGTAAAGGAAGATATTTTTTATTATCTATCTCTTACGAGTATTTATATTACGGTTTATGACTCTTTTATATCTTCAACGGCAATTTTATTCTACCGATATAAAAAAATATACGTTTCGAAAAATATATTCATAGTATTTCGTGTATTTTTTTCAATGCCAATTTCATTCTATCGATATAAAAATGAGTATTTTGAAAATTACTTTTGCATTACTTTCGCGAAAAGTTAGTTAGATCAATAAAAAAAAAAAATATTCGATATCCATATAATTTCAGGCAGGAAAGATCAGTTTGACCTATATATGCCCTGTACGTCGATCTATAAAAAGAAACTAGGTAACATCAAATTACGTCCCCCTTGAAACCATTCAACCTTCATCCGAAACATTTTTCGGTACTACAAAGTGATAAGCATCTGAGAGAAATCTACTTACATTAATTTTTTTTTTTTTTTTTTTTTAATAGTAAGCATACGAAACTTCTCAAATTTCGAATATTGTTAAAAGTGTTATCTTTGTTTCAATTTCCAGCCAATACTAGCCAGTACGCGCATTACGTTTTCAACACCTTGGACCAGGATCATAGCGGTATTCTCAGTTTTGAGGTGAGTGCTCGCAATCCGACCAGAATGTAGAGGAAAGCGTGTCATTGAAATCAATTTTTGATTTATCCCGATATCTCGATCGGTTGCCGAGATATAAGCGCTCAAACTTTTCGAATATTTAACACGTTACGAAAATTACTCGCGGATCCAGTGACTTACACCTTTCCCTGGAATTGAGTATTATTTCTAGGAATTGCGTCTGTCGCTTGTTTGGGATTCGTGCAATGAGTGCGAACAAGAGATCCGAGTAAACGGCAAAGAAAATGGTAAATAAAAATTATCCTTTTCTTTACACGACGATATCTCGGCAACCGGAAATCGTATCGGGATAATTCGAAAAGGGTTTTAAAGGGCGAGGTTCCGCGTTTCTAACGGTCGTCTACTCGTTGACCGGAAGTTACTATTTTCGGAATTATAACGGTTCAAAGTTTTACTAGGAGTTAATTGGATTTGAGATAAGTATTTAAAAATTATCCTTTTCTTTACACGATGATATCTCGGCAACCGGAAATCGTATCGGGATAATTCGAAAAGGTTTTAAAGGTAAGAATTCGCGCCTCCAACGATCTCTCAATTATCGACCGGAAGTTACTATTTTCGGAGTTATAACGGTTCAAAGTTTTCCTAATTTTAATAGAGTTTCGTCGAGTTTTCGATTATTTTAAAACGATAGATACGTTTATTTCTGGGAAAATATATTTTAAAAATCGTTCACGAATATATATGTTCGTTGTACTCGAACAATCCGTGTGTTATGTATGTTAGTACTTTTGCAATTTTTTTTATTAAAAAATCGGTTAGTCTTTGCAAATAAAAATACAGACTCGAGACAAATTAAAATGTTTCAATACGGAACAGCAATTCATTGTGATATCTTTATCCGTTGAAATTATATATAACCCTGTAATCTCCCTATCCGACGTATTGCGATAAATAAGAGTTTCTCGCAAGAAACCAGCATATACTTTAGGAACGTGAATCTTTAAAATTACATGTTTCTCGACGAAAGATTCGCAAGATCGATGTTCGTGCAATGCACGTACAATTGAAAGCTATTCTTTATAATCGGATGGAAGAATCCAGGTAATGGAACTAGCAAACGAATGTCAAGAAATATCGATTCGTTTCCAAATATAAATTTAAATATATATTTCTTTCCCCCTATGTCTAATCTATCCATGACAACTATTACTACTACTACTATTACTACAACTATCGATCGACAATCAAACTGTTATTTGTGCATCGTTTATCGACGCGAGCGTAACACGTCCCGTATTTATCACGCGAATCATTGTCATCTTCGTACGATTAGCCGAGTGAATTTGCCTCGAACAAATATTAGGCGGGGATTAAGGATAATTGGCAGATAGGCCGCCAATAACGAGCAACATAGATCTAACTAAGTTTTCCAATTAATCGATGGCGCGAATGGTCCAATCAATAGCTGAATCGCGGGTTAATTTGCGGGTCGAGGATCGACCGACTCTGTTTATCTTTTCTCTTTTTTTCAGAAGGAACAAGGGGAAATAAGGAAACCGAAGAACTCGTCGGCAGATAATTACGAATTAACGCAATTATCTGGCGACGCTTCGGGCTGTAAAATGTACTTTTATGTAATTGGCCTTCGAGCGTTGCCGCAAGCTTCCCACATTATCACAGCTTTTCGCGCCGCAAACATTCTCCCCCTTCTTTTCGCTTTCTTCCGTGCACGATCAAGTTTTCAGAAATCGCCTTTGATCGTCCAATCTTCTCTTAATTAAGTTCCTTTTTTTTTTCCTTTTTCTCGTTCGATTCCCTTTAACCAGACTCGTTTGCAGAAAAAAGTATACAAGCGAATATGCTGCTTGTGTCCCTTTGTTTCTTTCGAGAGATCGAAAATGAATTTACTTTCGAAAATGTGTAACCATTCTTGTCAGGATCACAAAAGTTTGGAAACGATTCGTACGAAAATATAATTAATTTTGCGGTGCGTATTCGCCGAAATAAAATTTCAAGCACCCGGACGTTTCGCCGGATGAACATTTTGCGAAAACAGAGTACTTTACTTTCCTTTTACTTTGGAAAAGAAGTAAAAGAAATGGAAATGGAATCGAGAAACGTTTCGAAGTTATTAGATTGCGGACGGGGATTAATCAAGAAAAAAACTTCTTTGATACAAACTTTTCTCTGAACACAAAACATCCCGTGATATATATTCTGAACTCGAATCGTTATTGGTTCACTATCAGGTATTGCGAATTCGCTGTTCCACGAATCGCACGAGATGCGACACGACTCCTCCATCTTCTTTCCCTTCATCGTAACACCGACTTGTCACAAACCTGTGTTTTCAACACCTGGATACGCAATATTTTTCAACTTTCAAAATTCAACGGTTGAAAAAGTGGTGGAGAAACTGTTCAAACTGTTCGTGTACGCCCCTCGTTCGAACTCGATCGAAATCGTAATCGTATTTCTGCATCGCGTAATCACGAGGGCCCTGAATCAACAATCCCTATTTATCCCGGTGAGGATCGTTGTTTGCGATCAGGTCGGGTGTAAACGCATCTCCTGTATTTGTGAACAAGGCGCTCCTACTTGGCCGTTATAATGCTTACCCCTTGCATTGTTTGCCCGCGCGATTCCCCTTTCTTCGAATTTGAAAATTAACCCTTTGTGACTCTCGCTCGCCATTCGAGAGGTGGTGACTCTCGGTTGGATCGATGCTGCAATTCGAACGGCGATTTTTATTTACGTTTGGTTTTTTTTTTTTAAATATAGAATAGATAATATGTGAATAATATCAAATGGTTCTTTTTTACCTGAAATTGACAGTCGAGGAGAAATATTTTTATTCTATATATTTTTAAAGTTTTTGAGTTTTGTAAGGAATGGCGATGAAATTAGTTCGAGCTTATTTCTATTCGTTGATAGGGAAATAGGGATGTAAGGAAAGGTGAAAAGTAAGAATAATGGATAAAAGGTGAATGTGAGATCACGTAATCGTAAAATTTGCTCTCGATAAAATAAGAAAGACATCAATTTTATCGTGATACACGCCCTGACGAACCGAAGATGCACTCTTGGTAATTACATTGTTATCAAAATATCGCGCAAAACAACGATTATTTAATATTCGACAAATTTTTTTCTCTTTGTACGTAGATGGATACACGAAATATTAAAATATAAAAGTTTTATCAAAGAAATTGGGGTGCGCGGAAGAAACGGTGTGGAGTTGTCGGTTCGGCCGAGCGAAAAAAAGGCCTGGAGTGCAAAGGCCTTTATAACGCTCGACGGGGAAAGTGAACGTTTTGAACGTGAAAAGAAAAAACATGGTCGATGAAAAGTATCTGTTATCCGGGCTTATCGTTCCATCGAATAAGCGCGTTTAACTCGAACGTGTTTAAGCGTGTTTAACCAGATCGAGGAAACGCACGGCGGCTCTCGATCGATCGAATGGGAAAAAACGTTGTTGTAACGCGATTTGCCATAATTGAAGCGTGCGCTAATCCAATTTGTCCCGCCAACTCATGAGCTCGAAAGTGCTTTTGGCCGCGTTTGCCGTGTTCCAGCCCGCTGTTATTATTCATTCTTTTTCCAGTTTTCAATTATCGGCCCAAGATGTCGAGCCTATTATTCCAAAGGCAATATTCCGTACTCCAACGAGCGACACACGAAATTAGCTCGTTTGCCTCGGACGAAACCAATTTATTCGTAAGCGGAATAAGTGCAGGGTCTTTTTTAAATACGCTTCGCTCGTATCGTAAAGTTGTCCGTCACTCGATAATAATAATAATCGAATCGAAAGGTATTAGATTCGCGAAGAAATCGTGTTTTTCTCATATTTTCCCTTTACAATTGTATTTTCGCCACTTCGTTCCTTTGTCAATTTATAATTAGAGATATGGTTGAATGGTAAGACAGATGAGGAAAATTCTGAAACGAATTCGGGCGAGTAGCTTGTAACGATCTCGCTTCGCTTTGGTTTTTAACTTTTAACTTTATTAAATCTGATCTTCGACGAGACATATAAAAATCGTAAGAGCATGATAAGAAAAAGAGTTTTCTTCTCTAACGTGAAATTTTGTTAAGAATAAAAATTTAAATTCCTTGCTAGAAGAATAATTTTTAGAATAATTCCCAACTCCAAGTTTTGCACTCTGTTCGATAGTAAACGCTGAGTAAGCATCGCTGTTTTTTAACTCGTGTGCGTATTTTTAAGGAAAAAGTGGGTCACAGTATTTCTGGAAATTTGATTGCCATTCATACCTTTTGCAGTTTAAACGATGCACTTTAAAAAATCTCTAAAATCAACTGGAATAACAACCTGAAACAAACTGTACTTTTCCATTATTCCGGCAAGTGATTTAAAATAAATGTAGCGTTTTAAATTCTATTCCATATTCAACGTATATGAAATCATATACGAGTCATTCGTGTATTGGATTAAAACGATTAGGAGAATAAAAATAAATTTTATTTACGGAAAAATAAACGGGTTCGAATTGTGCACGAGTTAGTAAATATATGTGTGTGTGTGTGTATGTGTGTACAGAGATATTGCAATTATTTTAATGTTTTATCTCGGGTAAAAAATATTGTACATTAAATAATATTTAATTTAATTTAAATAATAAAATATAAATGGACTGGAGAAAATATATTTTTACTAAATTTAAATAAATTGCAAAGCATAATATTTAGACATTTTTTTTGTATTTTCCAATCCATTTTCTATTTTTCTTTTTTTGAACAAAACGTTAAAGATAAAAATATACAACCCGCTCTACTCTCATTTTTTAGTATCATTCGTAGAGAAAGTAAATTCCATAGCTCAAAATGGAAGCTTCGCTACGGAATTTCTCTTGTTTCATAAAATTTCTGCCTGTTTAAATAAAACTCTTCTCTCGATTTTTTTTTTTTTTTAAAACTTCCACTTCTTATTCCTCCTCCTTCCTCGCATTTCACCTCTCATACGTGGCTGTTCATGTATGCCCCTTTTCCATTCTTTAACAATTTGCCGCGTTAGACAGAACACATCTTTTTGATGCATAAAAAAAGTTATTAAACAAAGCGTAACTGTAATCTGGTGGTATCCTTTTATAATTCAGAGAAAAACATCTCTCTAATCACGACACGCACTCGTCCTTTTAAGCCATTTGTCAAGGGTGGTTCGTTAAAAGGAATTTGTTTTTAATTAAAAGATTCTTCCGCGATTAAAAAAAAAAATTTCGAATTAGGCAGGATAAAACTCGGCTAATTTATCGCAAAAATAATTCGTTATTAAAAATTCATATATTATTGGTAAATTGAATTGAAACGGCACGTAAATACAAGTACATTTTAATTAATCGATTGTAATCGTATTTTAATCAAAAAATATTATATTTTTTTTTGTACGAAATTATTGCGAGAATCATTGTAACGAAATTCGGACGAAATTTCGACGACGTGCCCTATTAAAAATATATTATTTTTTAACGTTTAGTCGAATCTAAAAACTATCAGACCGATATTATGTTATAAATTTCAATTTCAAATGATATAAAATTGATAAAATAATTTGCGCTGAATATATTTTTGTAAAAAAAGAAAAATAACGCGAGAACGTGAGAAACGTTCGTACGATTCTTCCAAATTCCGGAAAAATAACCGCTGACAATGCGCCTCGAGCGTGGCCGAAAATTTTACGATCCTCGTCGAGGCTGCACAAATTAACCCTTCCCGTACAAATTAGCTCGACGAAATCCAAGCAGTGGGGCACTTTGCAACGTAGATTACAAGAATCGTGATTTTCTCGTGGCGTAAGAACTAAATCTCGATCGAAAAAATTCAGTTCCACGCGTGCTATTCGTGTTTGGGCCGAAATCTTCATCAGACTGGTGATAATGCGGGAAGGGGTTAACATCTCGATAGATTGTATTTATCGTACTCGACGTTTTATTTAACCATGGCTCTCTTTAAACGCGCACTTTTCGCTTCTCGTGTGATGCAAGCACGAGCACCGTTCCTTTTTAAAACGGTGCACGCAACAATCGTCGAATTGTCCGTGGGCGAGTGAAATTGAGCGCGCACGTTGGAGAGGGCACGAGAGGAAACTGAGACAGCGCCGCTGCAATCGTTCTGTTCCGGTGTAAAGTCGAGCTTTACGAATGGAGCGACTACAGAGAGAGAGCGAGAGAGAGAGAGGCTACGAAATCTCGAGTGTGTTCTCCTCCTCGCTCGTAGCTGGAATAATAATAATTGCTGGATGCTCGATCGATTTCGCGATATTTTACACTTCGAGCGACACCTTCTTACGCATTTAACGGGATTCGTTCGTGTTCGTGTAGAAGAATGATTTATTCAAGAATGATTATCCGCCGTTGGAAAGGATAAGCGAGTTTTTAACGAGATTCTCGCGTGCCCTTCGAGTGCCTCGTCTCGATCTAATCTCTCGCTCGCGTGAACGAAAACGAAAGTTTCGAAAGTATCGCGACTTTCGTGTGCGCGCTGCGTTAATGGATTCCTCTGTCCGCGGTGTTGGAGGAGAACGTAATTTAATCATCGATTCGATTCGTGTTGGAAAAATGTAACGATATAAATGTAACGACGGAGTAATGCGGAGAATAATTTGAATCGTTCGGAGGAAAACAATTTTTACAATCTGACGTGTAATAAAGCGGCGATTCTCTTAACTAGGTTTATGTGAAAAACAATTGGATAAAACGAGGATAATTCGGCGCATATTTGCGAGAAGATCGATATAACCATTCGTATAGGAGGATAAAATTTTACGACGCGAAAGAGGACAGGGTGTTTTATTCCAATGTCGTTTCGATTTTTTAAAAATGGATTAAAAATTAAAAAAAAAAAAATGAAATCCCCTTAGATCCAACGTTAGTAATTTTATATTAGTAAATTATACGCAAATATAATGGAAATTTTAGAAAAGATGAATTTTTCATCTCGATGTTGCAGGACTTCGTTACCGGTCTCAGCATACTGTCTCGTGGTTCCATCGATGAGAAACTGCGCTGGACATTTTCCCTTTACGACATCAATGGCGACGGTTGTATCACGAGGGAAGAAATGACAGACATCGTGACAGCTGTGTACGAGCTGATGGGCAAGTTTGCCGATCCGAATTTGGATCACGAGGGTGTACGTGAGAAAGTAGATCGAATGTTTCAGGTATGATTTTTCTCTTATTTTCACTCGATATCCAATATTCGCTCATATACGTGGACTTTCCTTCGTTGGAAAATTTGGATCGATAGTTTTTCTTGCAGAGTTTAAAAAAAAATATCAGAGTTAAAAAGAAAAAGAATGTTACGAAATAAGAAAGAGGGGCGTCATAAATGTCGTGAGTTTTTAAACAGATCTGTGTATGCAGAATACTCGCGTAATTTTCTCCATACGACATTGCTATACACGCGATATATCCCCCTATGTTCAATGAACAACGAAAGCATATTCGTTCCAAAGACCATCTGGCAAAGCACCAGCTGCATTATCCGAGAAATGCATGTATGGAAGAATCGCCAAGTTATTACGTGTATAAGTTCTTTTTATTATCCGTCCGTCTTTTCGCTCGGAAAATATGTTAAAAATTAGAATAAAGGGTGCACATTCTCAACGCGTATGTTCATCTGAGTTCGGTGTGAGATACAAATAGTATAATATTTTTTTTTTCTTTTTTTCCACTGTTCATAATCATCGATGAAACGCCCGACGATATTAACCCGATATAACTGACAATTATTGCTCGTCGAATTGAAGTGGCAAGCGTATCGGCAAGCACAGTTGGAAAATCGATAAACTGCTCGATCTGATCTTTCGTAACGGAACGGTACAGAGAATGGAGGGTATGTTTCCACGGGCTTTGACTTGTCCGTTCACTTTGACGAAGGAAAACGAGCGCTCGTAAAGCAGAGTAGCTCGGCTTCAGCGATGCAAGAAAAAGTTCTTTCTTTTTACCGGCTGTCACATTGTTAGCTGCGAATGACAATGTCTGCGATGATGCACTCATACCCCTTTCTCTTTCTTTTCTTTTTTTGTTTTCTTTTCTTTTCTTCGAATAAAAGACGATTCGTTTCGCGGAGCCAATTTGCGCCACCGTCCCCACGGCTTCGATTTACCGTAAACGAGTTCTTGTTATCTCTTAGGACGTACTCTGTTTTTCGAAAAAAAAGAAAAAAAAGAAGAAAAGAGTAAGAGAATTAACGAACGTTTTAACGAACGCCGGTTATCCAGAGTGGAAATATTTCAAAGATGTTTCGTTTCATTTCGTGTATTCGAAGAAGAAGAAAAATTTGATATTGAGAATTTTTCCAAAACTTTGGAATTGATTGATAAATGGAAGGGATCGATAAATTTATTAATTCTGAAACTGAGGCTTGCTGGAGAGATGTTAAACGGAAATTTAGAAATATTCGATAATTGAAAAGTGTGAGTTAAATGGTAATAGCAATAAATCCATTTGGAGCACAAATTATGAAAAAAACAACTGCCAAAACGTTGAGTTTAGATTAAATGATGAATGGAAAGAGGATATTGAAAAAATAATTTCATTAATTCATTAAACTGGTGCAAATATTCAAATTGTTAAACAGAAATTTAGAAATGCAAATATTCAGTAATTGAAAAGTATATGGGATAATAGGAATGAAATAAATCCATTTAGACCATGAAAGAACAACTATACAAGAAAGAAGAAAATCCATTGATAATTTTTCTGTGCCAAAACCTTAAATTTAGATTAAATTATAAAAATTATGTTAACTTATTGATCACAACTTCATTAATTCTGAAACCGGTGCAAATATTCAAATTGAGGCATGCTAAACAGAAATTCAGAAATGCAAATATTCAGTAGTTGAAAAGTATGGGAGTAAGTAGCAATGAAATAAATTTATTTAGGGCACAGATTACGAAGAAACAACAACTATGTTAATTCAAGTATAATACAATAAAGTAGATTTATCTTTTAATTCTCTGTTGCTTCTTTCGTTTTCGCGCGAAACCATTAGCTATATTCACGCTTCTCTATGATGATACTACAACGATACTTTGTAATGAAATCTAGCCTACGTGTACATAGATCTTAATCCACAGGTAAGCAGACGAATTAGTTAGATGAAACGGTAGTCATTTGCAACCATAAATCCTAATCTTCTTTTCGAAATGTTTACCGTGCCTGGTCAAATTTACGCACAACAAATGTTAAAGTTTCATCAAAGGAACAGAGAGAGAGAGAGAGAGACTCGTTGGTCTAAAGCTAGTACGAAATCCGAGAGTAAACGGTTTGCTCACGGTTTTCACGTTTACTTGTGCACGCTCATGTAAGTACATATGCACAAAGAGCTGAGAGACTAACAAACGAGAGCCACAAGATGAGTGACGAAGGAAATGAGTACGGCACGATTCGAAAATGTTCGAGATTCTTCGCGTTTGAGATTAGAAATATTCATTCAGGAATATTCTTCTACGTATCGATACTTAACTTTTATAACTTAACTTTTTGCTCCTTGAGAAACAAGTGTAAATTCTTTCATTTTCGAACGAAAATATATATATATAGAAATATGGAATTGCCAATTTAAAGTTTACTCCTTGTGGGTATAAAGGAATATAATATAAAGTTTCGAGTGGTTGATATTTCGTTTCTATAGATTACTTCCCTTTGTTGGTATCCAATATTGGTAGGTGTATATTTTATTATTCGTTCGAATAAAGTATTACGTTATCTCGATCGCAAATGTTAATATAAAATTGCGATTACAGTGATTTATAATAAAAAAAAAATATATATATTCCGTGTAGTCCGATAAGATATGATAAATACGTGCATGATCGAAAAATTTGTGATAGAACTTGTGATAGAATACGAATGAAAATTTAATGTGAACGAATCTTAAAAACCTTTCTTTCTGATGCAAAATGAATCGAATTTTTAGCATAATTTTGCGAGTATTACCGCGCTGAAAAGTTGAAAATCGATCGATATAGGACACGAAAGACGTAAAAGAAGAACGTGACATAAAAAGGAACAACTTTTTCGAGAGCTAAACGATCTTTTAGCACGGTTTTTTTGTCCCATTACGATCGTAAAATATTTTGCAATGATGCTCCCATTTCCTTGGTGATTGTGGTAATTGTAAGTTAAACATCCTGAAAAAGAATATAAGAAAATAGTGAAAAATAACAAAAAAAAAAAAGAAAAGATAAAAAAATTCTAAAATATCGTTTTATTACTGAAAATTATTTTCATATTCTATTTTAATTTTAATATCAAGTTCAAATATATAATTGAATAATACGTTCGAATATTTTCGGACATGTCGAAAACTGTAGCAGAAATGAAGCGTTATAAAGATATATTATATTACTTCGACGTTCTCTTCATTTTCAATATCTCTGAATTAATAATACACTGTGGCGCAGTGTAAGATTTGAATCCAGTCTGTTTGAATAATTTATATCCCTCTGTCAAATATTTTAAAGCACGAGTAATCTCTCTACTTTCGTTTAACTCTCAAATTCGTGATAATAAGACACATTTTGAGAGTAGCATAATTGTAAAATAATTTTTAAAACTTGACACATATTATACATATTATACATATTATAGAAAAAGTGGTATAAATTGTTAAAATTAGTACAAGTTTCTTTTTACTTCGAAACTTTGACAAAAGTTTAAGATTTAGTTGCTTCTTCCGTATGAAAAATGAACGAAATATTCTTCTTTTCTTGATAAAAGATGCTTGAACTTTATAATACTAGCTACTCGCTTTAATGCATTTTCCAACTTTAAGCTCAATCTTTACGCTTTAAAGTTGTCAGTAAGTTATTGTACATTTGCATGATATTCGCAAAAAAGATTCAACGTTTTTTTTTTTTTCTTAAAAATTTTCAAATCGACGATTTTAAAAGGAAAGCGCGCGTATATAAAAGCAAGGATGGCTATCGACATCGTTAAAAATTCTGACACCTCTGTCGCTTCGGTTCTTCCTTTTTTCTTCTTTTTTTTTTTTCCCCTCCCCCTCTTCTCACACGCGACAGAGAATTTGAACAAACGGCGATGATTCCCTGGAACGTGGTGAATTCAATCGATGCTAATTAATCAGGGAGAAAGTAGGATGTAACTGATGCAAACCACGCCACACACACGGTTCGTTATCTCGCATAGACTTTTAATTAAAATGGAACAACGTATGGATCGTAAAGAAGAGGTCGCGCTCGAATCAGATTCATTGTTTCTAAAAACCAGTTGCCACAACTTTCAAGAGCTCTTTATTTATTATGCACGGTCAGACAGATCATGATACATGATCAAACGAACTTCGTATTTGTATTTGAAAACAGTGTCAACCGGTTTCAATCGCGTAAAAATAAAATTAAAACCAGTTATTCGGACGTACAAAATAATAAAATTCTATCGCGATCTTCTCGTGATAGACGTGAGGAAACGTTTAATTTTCCAAATACATCTGGATCTAAATTTATATCAGAATTTTAAATGGTATAAATGGAATAATATCCATGATGCTTAGATGGATTTGGTTGGAGGATTGAATCCGATACCAAACTACTGCTCCAAACTAAATTTCAACGTGCATACACAGACTTGTACTTGCACATATACACATGTATACCCAAGCATTTGTATTGATACGATAGTCGACTTTTGACCATAATCATCACTCTAAAGGACTGGTCGAAACCGACAAATTTACGTGAATGAATCCACTATAATTAGAACTACTCGATAATGAAGGGTTACCTGATAAGCCTACCTAATTCGAATGGGCTATTCACGAATGCCGTTACCTAGATAATCGTTTCTATAATTATACGAGATTACCGACGAACTAGCTCCGCCTACAAACGTATGCATGAATCTCGATTAAATCGAATAATTTTCTTTTTCGCTTCGTTTGTGAATTCGAGAAAGAAAGTATATACATTTATACGAATAAATTTTGCAATTGTTGCAGAAGATGGACGGGAACAAAGATGGGGTGGTGACGCTCTCGGAATTTCTGGAGGCATGTCAAGCTGATCCGGACATCTCTACGAGTATGGCGGCCCTGGACACGGCCTTCTGACACTCGGCACGACCACGATACATGCCATGGACCTGAAAACATTCTGTCGATTTGGAAATATAATATATAAATCGCTCAACGTTGTACCTTACCTCCTGGACCAGAGGGGAAAGAATTTCCTCTGAGGTGTGTCACTGGTGTGAAGATCTCGAGCGACAGAGATCGGACCCCCTACAGTCTGCTCGTGCGCGAATTTTCGGGATCGAGGAGAGCAAGATCTCGAGGGGAGAAAAAACGAGACGTAGATTTTCTTTTCTCCTCCCCGCAACTCGTTCGAAAACACGGTTTGTTAAGAAAAAAAAAAAAAAGGAACGGTACTCGCGTTTTCCACGAGTCAAGGAATCTCTCTTTAACCGTCGTTAAACGGGCTCGGTTGCTTTAACGATACGCGAACGACATCTGGCGACAAGATCGGACGAAATCGGTCCTAAGAAAATAGAGATTGTCCTTTCGAGATTCGTAGTTCTAGCTAATTAATCCAGTATCGTTAGGTAAGAAAGGATTAGATGAAAGACAAAGGATTAGATATCAAACAAAGAGAGAACGATGTTAAACGATTGTTAGATAGTTATGGACAGAACTTGTTACGAACTGGTTTCCGGTAGTTCGTTTTTTTTTTAAGGAACGCGCGCTACAAACGATGAACGAATAGATATATATATGTAGAGAGAAAGAGAGAGAGAGAGAGAAAAGAAAGAATATTAATCGTGAAAGATGAGGGGAAAAAAAATGAATAAAAGTTAATTTAACGTTAAGAAAATGGATCGTGTAGCACAGTGTGTTTTTTTAAAAGGGAATTTTTTTTTGTAGAAGAAAGCAAAGAAAGAAAGCGTGCCATTGGACGTAAATTGCGAAATTGTGGCACTCGTTGTTCGTGCCAAAGATATAGATCCAATAGGGAAGAAGTCGTGAGAAGCGAGATTCTGAGAACCAATCTCTGTGCGAGAATGAGCTTAGCTTGCATTCGTTTTTCATTTCTTTTGTCTTCACTTACAAAAAATATTAATATTTCAAACGAAAAAGCAAGGAAAAAAAAAAAGAAACAGAGAAAAAGGGAGGAAGACGTAGAAAAAAGAAAGAGAGAGAGAGAGAGAGAAGAAAAAACAATTTCAAAACTTTGACTCATGTTTTATATATCGAGAGAGACGCATGCACGGTGTTGCAAAAATTCTTAACGATTTAATAACAATAACGATGTAGTCTAGTTTTCTACGACAACCATATTTTTTTACGAGACTTATTCTTTAGAGCATTTATATTTTTTTAATTGGAACTGTTGAATTTCACCGTGGAAATTAGCACTGTTTTTTTTTTTTTAATACGAACAACATTTGTTTACGTTATCGTAAAGAAAAATCAGGCTTTCCTTTCTTATCGATTTAATTTCCCGTATTAATAGCATCATTTTCGATCAAATTGGATCTTCTCGATTCCAGTGGAGTTTCGAAAGAAAAACAGAAAAAAGAAAAAAAAAAAACGCACGAATTTTAGTTTTAGCTTGTATATAATAGTTCCGATATCGTTAACATTATTCGAAGCGATTTCGAGATAGACTTTTTTAGTTGAGCAACGAGACGTTGTTACATAGCGAGCGGAGATAGATCGCGTATTCGTCGCAAGGTATTCTTCCCAGGAAAAAAAAAAAGAAAAAAAAAAAACGGGTAGAGGTAAATTCTCGAGTACGATTTTATAATAATGAAAAAAATATCCACGAATCGACGTGTCTCGTTTAAAAGCACGGCAAACATTATAGCAAGAAAGAGAATAAAGGAAAGAGAAAAACGAAAAAGAGAGAAGGAGAATAATTAATATTAATAATTAATATATATATATATATGTATACACACACATATATATATATATATATATATATATAAAAGAGATATCGTAAACCCCGCTAGAGCAAGCTGGCCATGTTGAGCGGGGCTCGTTGTTTCTAGTACGTAAGAGAATAGATTAAGCGATATATATGATAAAAGTATTTATTTTTGTGACAGGTAAGTGAATTAATTATTAATCGTGGTAAGAATTTAGCTCGTAAAGACTGCGTGCTGCTAAAGAGAGAGAATGAGAAGCAGGGAGATAGATGGGGAGGGGGGAGGGATAGGAGAAAGAAGAACAAAGAGGAAAGGAAGAAGAAGAAGAAGAAGAAGAAGAAGAAAGAGATGGAAACACGTACACGTGTTTGATTTTCCATTCAAAACGATCTTCGATCGGGAATACCGAATTTTATTGTTAATCTAATTAAAACGTTTTTGCGATGACTGGACCAAAGCGTCCGTGGGTGACGGGCGATGACGATTCGAAATATATATTTAATCATTTTCCATCACTGCCTACTTCTGATCAACTTGTATATATAGAACGATTAGACTGGGACAAACGAAGACGGGACAAGAATCGCAGAATGAATCGAAAAGAAAGAAAAAAAAAAAAACTTCGAAACTTCTCGAGGGAAGAAGAAACGAAGGGATGTCTGGTAGAATCAATTCGATAAATCGCTCGTGAGATTTTCGTTTCTATTTACCAGAAGATATTCCGTCAATTGTGAAATTACATTAGCTCCTTTCGATCGACCTCTATGAGTTACTCCGTTCCAACAGTTACGTTTTTTTTTTTTACCAAAAGGAAAAATTGCATCCGATCAACGAAGGTGGATTCTATAAAAAGGAGGAGAAACGAAACGAGATACATTCGATGGAAATATGAGAACGAAAGGAAAAGGAATATATCTATGTGCGCGACGAAATAGAGATTTCTCCGATTTTTAGCAGCGCCTCTACACTTAGGATGTAAGATATTTACGTATAAAAGAAAAAAAAAAAAAAAAAAGAAAAAGAAAAGAAAAAAAAAAAGAAACTGAGGCGAGCATTTTCAAAGTTGCCTCGTATCAACTCGATCACTACCGCATGTCTTTGAAGTTACTGAAGTAAGTATAGAAAAGACAAAAGGAACGACGTAATTACGTTATTACCTAGATATTTTCAATTCCCAACCAAATGTTAGATCTAGATAGATACGTGAAATATTTCACGTCCACCTCACGTCGATCGAGAATACGATAGATCCAATACGTTAAACAAATCCATATTTTTTATTTTCGATTAATCAGGAATTTAGTCGAATCAACTTATTTTGTATTATTTTTTTATTAACCAAGTCTGAATACTCAATAGTGAAACAATTTCCTTTTTTTGTTATATTTTATTTTATTTTACGCGAGAAGAAGGAAAAATTAAAATCAATTGTCGCCTCGAAATTTCATAGTTCTTACATTAGATCTATCTTACACTTGATCGATATGTATGCATGCCTCTTACGCATATACTAAATACACAAACACGATCGTATATACATACATACATATATACATACATACATACATACACGTGCGTACGCGCACTATCACTAACAATAAATTGTCTTATCTTACTTATATAGTGTATCTATAGAGCCTTGCGTCGATAAGATCTTGTATGAATTAGAAAAATTTGATCGAAACCAAACAATTATTGTATCATTGTCGATTAGTCAAAATTATTACGTATGTTTGACGTATCTTTTAGACGAAAATTTGTAAAAGAAAAAAAAAAAAAAAGAAAAAAAAGAAAAGAAAAAAAAATAACGAAGAATAATAATT